CCCCCCCCCCCCCCCAAGACCCGTAACAACCAGAAAAATTAAAATAATTTAATAATGCTAATTATGATATATTAATTTGTCTAATTTAATTTTCTTAATTAATCATGCTCAGTAAATATTTTCTTATTTTTAAATTTTAAAATATTTTCAAGAACTTTAATTATTTCAGTATTTATAATTTCACATTGCGAAACACATTTTCTTACATATTCTTCAAAATATCTTTTGATGTTTATTTTCTTTCTTTTTTCTCTCTTTATTTCTTTTACTTTTCCCTTTCCTTCTCTCCCTCACAGATCACTCTCTCCCTCTATCTCTCGTAACTCTCTCCCCAGCTCCCTCTCTCCTTCACTCGTCTCTTTCTCCTCTCTTTCTCCCAAAATTTTCACTCTTTCTCTTAGGGAGTTTTGAACCCAAAGTTGAACCAAAGAGGATTTTCACGAGTTTTCATCACCAAAGGAAAAATTGAGATAAAATTCTTTGAGAAACCAACTCTTGATTTTCGGATTATGTTTTGGTGAAACTTGTTCTTGGTTTGGTTTGATGAACTCTTGGTTTTGAGATGAATTGTGGTTGATTTTATGTTTAAATTTGGGGGTTTTGGTTCTTTGAACTTGTGGAAATGAATGGAAACTGGTTTTAGTGATTTCTCATGGATTTATTTTGAAATCAAACTTGAAAATGCAAGTTTTTGGTATTTTCCTCGCTGATTCGGTGAATTTCTTATGCCTGCAGAGCACCCTCAGTCAACCACCCCAGGCGACTGGACCAGGCACCACTAGTCGACCAATGGTGTTGCACTTCTCTGTTACTGGGCGACCGGTTGACACGGGAAATGCCTCAAAATGTTTAAAAACTTGTTTTTGACCCAAATTTCAATGGGAAATCAAATTAACTTCATTTGGAAACTCAAAGTGAGTGGATTAGCCACATTAATCCTTGTTCTATTCTATTTTTTTGTTTGAGTTCCAATTCTAAAAGAACCACAACTTGGATTATGAAGTTGTTTATAAACTTTAGTTTTGAGTCAAGACACACTAGTATGATACAATTTTACATAATTAAGCTAGATTTGTTTTAGAGGTGAGATCTAAACTCTAAAACATTGTTTTGATGGCGAAGCTAGAGGCGAGATAGGATATTGAGCTTGAAAGATAAGTGAGGCTAGGACGCCGAGAAGCTAACCGTAGAATTGAAAGAGGTAGGATAATCTTGTCTATATCCTTGATAGCCTTGTTTAAAAAGTTGTTTGGCTTAAAACGATGTTTTGAAGACAAAACATGTTTGATAGAGAAAAGTGATTTTGAAAAAATAACATGAATTATGATATTGAACTCCTATTGTGTTGAATTAAGAATTTAAAGTAATATTTTCTAAAATGAGATATTTTAAGAAATAATAAAATGCATGATGGCCTAGAGGTCGGGGTATGCAAATCATATCCTTAAGGGTAGGTCCCGAAACATGTACATGCCACTCCATAGTGTGGGTGGTGATATCATGGCTTTGCAATAATGTGAGTAATTTATCATATTCGTATAAAATTGTGTATTAGCACATGAAACTTGAATTTGTGGATTATTTCATTTCATTAAAGGATGTTTGGTTCCGGATGATATGTTCGGACCGTGAATTTTTTTAACTGATAAAGTTTTATGAAATTTTATTCTACTGGGTCTTTCGCTCACTGTTTATCTTATTTCAATGTTTTAAACATCTTTCAGACGACGCTAGAAGCAGTGCCGAGTAGATAGCAACTACCAGTAACGCTCTCTTGTGTTGTTCAAGTGAACAAGTTGTAATTACTTCAATCTTTGCTATACATCTCTAAGGCATGTATAATTTTTGGTTTGTAACCTTAAATATTTCTAGACTGTGATTGATGTCTATATTCATTTCCTTACTTTGTCTATGTATGCTACAATACGTATTTTCCTATGGAGAATCCTAATGTGATGTCAAATGCTAGTTTTAAAACTTGTTTTATTATGATATTTTGAAATCCACTTCACTTTTCTTGAAACTTAATTTCTTCAAATTGTGGGATTTGTCTAGAAATTCTCAAATATTTCATCCTTGAAATTGATTTTAGCATTATTAAATATTTAATTATTTTTCTTAATCCCATTTAATTTTTAAATAAATATCCACGTCATTAACCCTTATTTTAGAGCGTGACAAACCCAACATGTTGCGACGGTGAGATATAGGGGAGGAGAAGATGCGGCGAGGTTGAGATCTATTAGGGGTTGGGGGCGCTGCGATGCTGTGAAATGCGAAGGGGTCTCCATGACGCTGATATCTAGTGAAGAGCTAGCGTTGGTGGCTGGATCTAGTTGAAAAGAGCGCTGCAACGCTAGATTTGATTTTTCTTTTCGTTTCTTTTCTTTTTTTATTTTATTTTATAATTATCAATTTGGCCAAATGGACGTGTCCTGCCCTTCTTAAAACATCATGTGCGTATCACGTGAAGCAAATTCGTGAAATTTTTAACATTATTTTCAATTAGACCACAAATACACGCATTTTAAAGTTTAAGGGCCAATTGCAAAAAATTTTAGTTTAAGAACCAATCTTCTAAACACGAAAAATTGGAGGGAGTCTCATGCAAAATAAGCCTTTAAATTACGAAACTGCCTTTGTGTCTCGGAAAAGAGAAACATCTTGAAAAATGCATGTTGAAGATCCGTAAGAACATCTCCAATGCAATGTTATAATTGACGTATCAATTATAAATTTAAGATTTAAAGACAAAAACACTCTCCAATACAATGTTATTTATTGTGTCAAATTTCTCATATGCTATTGATTTCTATTAGTTGAAATGTTTACTTTTCTATGTAAATATTATAACGTTTACATTTTTTAATTATTTTAAAAATAAATGTTCACTTTTACAACTTTTAAAAGAAAAATGTAGATTTAACATTTTAAATAACATTATACATTAGAATAAAAATAAAAATAACATACCGTATTATATTTTTTAATATTAAATATACAATTAGCATTAATATTTACACCGGAGAGCTGAGGAAAAAGTGTTTCGGCTAGGGGAAAAAAAGAGAGAACTTTTTTTTTTTTTTCATATACCCAAAGTCTTGCAACCACAACGGAAAATGACAACAAGACAAAAAAAAAAAAGCAACACGGTAACCTTACAAAAGTTTTACTTATTGACATCTATAAAAAAGAAAAAGAGAAAAAAGGAAGGTAAAAACATAAAATAGCAATTGTATGTAATCCAACTAATTGGGTAAGTCTCCTACACTCGCCACTTCATGCTAGAAGAATAAATCTATGAAAAGACAACTGAATCCAAACGTTCAAAGGAATTTACAGAAGTGCAAATCAAAGGATCAAACCTTGAGCAGGTTCAGGCTTGGACTTCTGCTGCTCACTTGGAGCCGATGCTTTGGTAGGAGAGTCGGAGAGATGAACTTGAGCATAGTCATCCACCATTTTCCTCTTCTCTTCCTCTTCGACGATTCCCACTTTCTCTTTTGTCTTCTGGCCAACTTCTCCGGCAGCTTTTGTGACCTTGTTGAAAGCACCCGTAACCCAAGAGGCACTGGTGAAGACATAACGATTTTTCATTATGGCAGACCCAGCATCGCTAACTTTTTGCTCAGCAGCCGCAAAAGCGGATTTGGTTTTTTCTGAAACCTGAAACTTCTGATCCACTTCACGAACTTTGTCACTCACCAAAGAAGTACCGGCACTTATTTTGTCAGTCAGACCAATTTTTTTGTCAAAAGAAATAACTTTGGCTGAGGCTGTGGATGTCAGCTGGTGCTTTTCGTCAAAGTTCCTTGCCTTGTTAACAGCATCTTTGCCCAATATAAAGCCTTTTGCAAGCATGCCGGAAACCACATCCTCCGCTTTCCGAAGAGCAGAATCACCACCTTCAGGAGTCTTATTTTCTGTCACCTGCAGAGACGGGCAAATCAACAGATAAATGACATTATGGTGATGAAGTACAAATTAACAGATAACTGGCACTCAGTTGGGAGTTTACAAAAGGAGGTACGTACGGGAGGTGCTGAAGCATCAGGTGGTAGCTCATAATCTGGAGCTAGAGTAATTGTCACGGACATATCAACAATTGTAGCTCCCTAACAACAGCACAGATAGCAAACATCCACTATGTTAAAGGACAGACTAAAATACATAAATTGGATTTTAAAGACTCTTGTATCCAATACATGGAGGTTTACACTGAACAGACAATGATATACATGGAATCCGATTTACAATTTGCAGCATACTTTTCCTTTGCAGCATACTTTTTCTTTGCAGCACACTTTTCCTAGGATTCTTATATCATTCAATCTGATTCCAAATAGAAGTTGTAATATTCAGAGTGCTCCAAAAAGGAATCATTTGAACAAGTGGCTTTATTCTGATAAGAGCTGAACAGATTCGAGAACAAAACCAAGAAGAAGATTGAAAAAAGAAGATGAAATCAACTAGAGAACTTTATTGATGACAGCAAATGTACACTGAAACGCGGATCTTCGAGGGTCCGCTACCTCCCCGTACTTGGAATGATTCCAAGATTTTTACAACAAACTGATTATCCCCAATGATCCCTTCTTTCTGTTTTTCTCTCCCTTTTATACATTTACTTATTCATTAACTACTAACAATCGTCCTTGGTAAGCTACTAATACTAACAATCTTTCATAGTAAGCTATTGACAGCCTCCCCAAACCAGAACCCCACTTCCTAAGCCTGTTTATTTTCATTTGTTCATATCTTTTTGTTTTGAGGAAAACAATTTATATTGCAATTGATCTCATAGCTCTCACTCTTCACAAAAGGCAAAATAAAATCGTTTGCAACATAATGGAAATGTATTCAGGTATCATGGAAATGTTTTGGAAATATTTGAAACAAACTATCAAGATACTAAAATCCCTTGTACCTATCTTTAATGGTGATAATGACATAAGATCAAAAGTCGCAAGTCCTCTCTACCTCAAAGACTCAAACATGTTCTCAGGCCTCAGCCACATATTGCAATTTGGATAGGAATTTTTGGATATATATTACATCACAGTAACTTAGTTATCAGCTGGATATCAAGTGGTGCATGCTTTGTTTCAGGAAGAACAATAATTTTTTAACGAGTCTTTACAAAATACCAACTATATATATATATATATATATAGATGATTTTTTTTCTTTGAAGTCATGTCCCATTCTAGGAGAGAGAACATTTGTTGCAACTAATAGTCCTGCTGTGCACACTAAATGAGCCCAAAAAACAAGAGGATAGTTATACAATATGATGTAATGAGCCTCCATTTTCTTTTCCTAAGATTAAAATGACAAGTCACTTACCGAAAGGAGGACTGCAGTCTCCGCTCCTTGTGCGTCCTTGAAGGTAACATATGCAATTTGAGACCGTTCATTATCACTACAAGAGCAAAACATGATAAGCTCAAGAAATGTACAAAATATACAAAACAAGGAAACTGTTAAACTGGAAAAAAGAAAACAAACCTTATCATTTCAACATATTCAATATCACCAGAAAAGGAGAAGAACTCCTTGAGGTCTCTCTCATTTGCTCCCAAGGAAACATTACTGACCTTAACAGTTTTTGCCTGTAGTACAACAGATGTATGATTTCCAAATAAGGAAAGACTATGGTAAAACACAGAACATTTTGGTAAAGATATTGCACTAAGAAAACACTATTGAAGTTGCAATAAACGAAGACTTTAAAAGAGATTGAAATTCTTCAAAAAAAAAAAAAAAAAAAAAAAAAAAAAAAAAAAAAGGGGGTTTGAAATTAGATTTGTCAGTCCATTGCCAAAAAAAAATGAAAAAATAAAAAAAAAAAAAAAAAAAAAAAGGGGGTTTGAAATTAGATTTGTCAGTCCATTGCCAAAAAAAAATGAAAAAATAAAAAAAAAAAAAAAAAAAAAAAGGGGGTTTGAAATTAGATTTGTCAGTCCATTGCCAAAAAAAAATGAAAAAATAAAAAAAAAAAAAAAAAAAAAAAGGGGGTTTGAAATTAGATTTGTCAGTCCATTGCCAAAAAAAAATGAAAAAATAAAAAAAAAAAAAAAAAAAAAAAAAAAAAAAAAAAAAAAGAGAGCTTGAAATTAGATTTGTCAGTCCATTGCCATAACAAAATGTAAAAATAAAAAATAAAAAAATAAAAACCTTCTAGAAGCTTCGTAGGTTTTGAGGCACTGCTTCAGCTGAGTAATTTAATCATTCACACTCTCAAATAACCATGTATTCAATCTTCACATAAACATTCCAAATCTGAATCCATTCTTAAAGTGAACCCCCCATAATGGATACCTTGTTTTGCTTGACCTTTTAACATGACTCAAATCATGATTTGAATAGGGGGGAAAAATGTCCCAATACGAAAGTAAAGTTAAAGAAGCAATTTTTGGGTTTCTTTAAATTTCTTTGATAAGTGCCACAATAAATTTCTCAAGCTTCCTACCACAAATAAAGCACGACAATAATCTGGAAAAAGATTTGAAAATACCGAAAGTAATCAAAATTCAAAATTTACTTCTTTAATTGATTTTCTTCATTTGTTTCAAATATTGGGTAAAATCAACAAATAAAGAAGCCCAATAAAATATATAAAATTTTAAATTTTTTTAAAAAAAATCGCATTCGAGAACCAAATAACGAATCTTGCAAAAATTCCGCGAGTAGATTTGTACAATCAAAATCTTTACATGCTCTCAGCTTAATACAAACTCCATTTCGCGAATTATGACAAATATATAATCTCAAAATCACCAAAATTCAAGCAACATTTATCAACAGAAAAGCTAAAAAAATAGATCTATCTCCACCACTAAACCCATCAATAAAATCACGCAAAAAAGCACCGATAAACTGATCAATTACGAGGACCCTAAAAATTGATACTCAACAAGCATATTCAGGAGAAAGTGAGCACTAACCGACATGGCGAGCTGCTACGAGAGAAGATCAAAAGGAAAAGATTGAACAAAAGTCTTCGGTAAATCGCGGAAAAAGAAAAAGAAAAATCAAAGTCGTTTGGTCTCCAAGAAAATGAAAGAGCTTGATTTTAGAGAGAGATTTTATGCAGCAGAGAACAGGAGGGGACTTGTTGAGGAAGAGATCATGGACGGCACCTGCGAGGGACGTCCCACGTGCGATGTCTCGTTGTTTGAAACGCGGAGAGCGTGTTTACTCCGACAAGGAGTTCGAGTTTCAAGGCTGGGGCCCACCCCTATGCTTATGGAAGAATTGTCAATCGCGCGCGTGGGCTTTTGTGGACGTAGATATGTGTACGTGAATTGACGGTGGATATGAGTTATGATGAAGTTTAGGGAGTAGAAATTAATTTTTGGGCTAAAAGATAATTAATGGCATAGTATATGGGTGACTAGAAAAATATTGGCACGGAATTTAATTTTGTAAGAAAAATTACAGCAGATCAGCCTTGTCGTCGGGTTAATGACAAATGAAATCCGAAGTAGATCCGAAGTAAATTGTAGGACAAATTTCCCTGAAGTTTATTGCTTATGACAATGTGCTTTTGAATTTTAAAATATGTATATTGTGCCTTTAAAATATAACTTGTTTTTAACTTTTTTTTTGTTTAATTCTGTTAAGTTTTTTAATAAAAATGTTTATAAGTTCTTTTTAAATTTTGTTATTTGTATCAATATACTTTATAAATTTTAAAATATATCTGTTGTGTCCCTGGATTATAATATATTTCTAACTTTTTTCTATTTATTTTGATTATGTCAATTTTTTAAACAAAAATATTAATATGAGCATTAAATTAATGATTATTAATGATATTTGGAGTTTATTAAATTTTTTTCCTTCCAAAAATATTAATGAGATACCAATTCTCAAAACAATTAGTTAGAGGCAATAAAAAGATTAAAAAAAAATGAGGAACAAATCTATACAAGGTAATGGGTTTGTTAATTTTTTAGTTTTTTTTTCCTCTTTCGTTCAAATGAGTTTATTAAATTAATATGTTTTTTAATGCAGAGAATAGATTGTGAATTGAATTTAGCATTATGCGTTTTTTTTTAATGGTGAAGATTTTTTTCTGTTAATATTTGGTAAATTAATAGATTCTTTAAGATTTGGTTAAATTTTCAAAAAGAAAAAACACACACACACACACACGGATTAAATTGAAAATATGTAAATTTAAAAATGTTATATATAAAACACAAACATATTTTATTTAGAATGCCTTTCTAACTGCGTTAAATATTATTAAGTTAAAAGAAACTTAAAAACTAAAAAAACCCATTTCATTATTTAGATTTGCTCATCATTTTTTCTCTTTTTATTTTATTGTCTCTAACCAACTAATATTTTAAGAACCGGTGCCTAACTAATATTTTTAGAAGGAAACTCATTCAATAAACCTTGAATGTCATACCTAATTAGTAATTTAATGACCGTATCAACATTTCTCTTTTAAAAATGATATAATCAAGATGGAAGGGAAAAAATGAAAGACATCATAATTCAGGGGTACAAATGGTACATTGTAAAGTTTATTAGGTATGTTGGCACAAGTGACAAAGTTCATAATTCAAGAGGCACAATATATACATTTTAATATCTAGGGAGTATGTTGACACAAGTCACAAAGTTCAAAAAGAATTTTAGAAATTTGTCATAGATTATATGACTGTATTAGTATACTATTGATAAGAAGTATAAGACTAATAGGGAATTATGAATTGAGAAAAAGAATGGAAAAAATATTATTCTGCTATAACGTACTAATACCTTTTTAATTTTGCTATATGTTATTACGACGTTTCACCCTTTTTTTCTTTGTTTTATGTTAGTCTCGTTCATTTCACCGATTCGAGTTTTCAGTTTTACCCCGGGACACCCCCGGGGCACCCCCCGGAGACCCCCGGAACACCCATGGGAGACCCCCAGGACACCCCTGAGCGACCCCCGGGACACCCCCGGGAGACCCCCAAGACACCCCCGGGATACTCCCGGGACCCCCCCGGGAGACCCCCGGTGATGAGGACATCAGAGATACAAGGAATACACACGATCCAATTCAAGTCTCAGTTGGTCCGGTAACAAGGTATCAAGCTAAAAGATTTAAAGAAGAAGTAAATAACCTAGTCCGAAGAGTTCTACAACAAGAAGAGAGAGTGTTCACTACTGAGGGTGAACAAAGACCAGTTTTACTCATTAAAGTTGATCCGGAAGAAAGCCATTCAGACATACACGTCTATTAAGCCATTGCATGGCCAATTTACATGTCATTCCAAGATACGCGTGTAAGGGCAAGAATAAGAGGCTTAGGCGCAATTTCCAGCAAGGAATCAAGTCACAATTGCGGATAAAGACTTGATTTCATTATCATTCTATCTTTTTAGATTCAAGGTCTAATTTTAAACATTTAAATTCCATATTAGGCGTTTAAAAGGAAGGAGTTAGACTCAAATTCGGATTCCCTCCCTAGGATTAGTTTTAGGCGTGTTTTATCTTATCTTTAAGTGTTTATCTTCATTTAGGCGCCTACCTCATTAAGGGTAGGATAGGACTTTTACAATTTTGACTATCTTTATCTTGTTTTCAGCTATTTAAGGCTGAAAACTGAATTAATAATAAGTTTTAATATTTTATTCACATTGTGAGATATTCTTCTTGTGTTCTTGAAGAAACTATTCCGAACTTATCAAGGTTTCCTTGTGGCGTTCACCCTTGACTTATCAAACGGATTTTCCATACTCGT